ATATATATATATATATATAACATTTTAAAAATGTAATTTTAAAATTTTTAAACATGAAAAAATTATTATTATTTATAGACTTTATTTATATTTTTGAACTTTGAGTTAATATTAATTTTTTGTTAGAGTATAAAGTGGGATTGCAAATTCGCAAGGATAGTATTTGTAGATTTTATTTGATTTTTTTTTTAAATTTTGAATAAAAAAAAAAACCCCTCACGAGACCCACCAACACGCACGGGACAGGCTAGGGTTGCATGAACCCTAGCCAGCGGCCGACCTGCAAAACGGCCCGCTTTGATAGTACTATTAAAAGATGATGTGCTTAGTATTTATTGTTTAGTTTTAAATATGGGTTGTGGAAAAAAGATAAGAAAAAAACTTTGGAGAATCCTAATAAAGTGAAGGCAGAAGAGTGTATAAATTAAAGCACACCTGAGAAAGCCAATGGAGACTGTTTGAGGAATGAACAAAATGGAGAGTGTTAGAGGGGAAAAGCCTTCCATAAAATGAAGCTGCTACTCCCGCGAAGAAGCAATGCCCAAACCCATCTCCCATCTCTTTCTTGAAATCCTCTACACATCGGGGCAGTGACCGGAAAATGGAGTTGAAATCGTTGCCGGGAAGGTCGCTCAAGTGGACGACATATTCCGGCGAGTGGGTTCCGGTCATTTTTCGTAGTTTTTCAACCGCTCTGATGATGTCGAACACTGCCAGAAAAGTGTTTGGTCCGGAGGAACATCCCAAGTCTGCAATGGATATGGTTTCTGGGCAAAGGCTGTTATACACATCTGTTATGGCTTCTTCTGTTGTGGGCTTTGTACGAAGTATCACATTTTTCTGTTCATTCAAATAAAAATATGCACTTAGAAAGAATTAACGTACTTTATTTTTTCCCAAAATTAACGATAAAAACTTATTGAATTTTGAATGTAAAACGCAGGCACCTGAGCCAAGGAGTTGTTGGCATAACTGGTGTCTCCATTTCCTTCGTTCTTGTGAAACACTCACTACTGAAAATTAAGTGATATTAAATCAAGTTCAAAGCAAAAAGTGGTCAAAAATAACAACAAAAGTTTATCCGGATACCAAAAATGGTCGGAGCAAGACTTTCCACTTAATTTAAAATCACTTTCAGGTGGTCGGAAATTTTATAATTTTCAGTAGTGACTTCTACAACTTCCATCTCTCTCTCAATATCTCTATCTCGTGTGTATAATTTGTATGTGTGTATATTGAGAGACTAAAAATCCTTTTTTACTTTATATAAATATATAATGTTAATGAATGATTTAGATAATAATATATATAGTTATATTAAAAAATGAATGATTTATGGATAACATAACTGCGAACGTCGTCATGTTGAAATTTGCTGCATTTATGGAAAAGAATACAGTGAATAATGTATGAGATTGAGATACATATGTGACATTTCAAACTTCGCAGTCAAACAAAAGAACAGTGTGACGGAGATGTTTTCGACATATTGAAATTAAAGTACATAAGTTTGAGGCAGTGGGCAAGTTACGTTGTTTGACATTAAGACGTCTTTAAATTTAATTAAGGATTTGATATTTCTTTGGAGAAAATTCTGAGTCAAAAAAGATAATGTTAGTTAATTATTCCATCCATTCTATTTTATTAGTCATATTTTTAGCTGACTTTGAAGAAAGAGAGCTTGGCCATGTTAGAGGAGAGAGAAGAGAAGAGTTTACCTACTAAGTTGAAATTTTTGTCTGTGGAAGAGAAAAAAAAAATCCAACAATTCGCTAGTCTACATGGTACTAGTAGGCATGTCACGTGTTCTTTATGTGCTTGATGAGAACTTGAGTGATACTTGAAAGAAAAAAAAAAAAAAAAAAAAAAAAATCAACATTGGAAGTGGTTTAAGGACATTCACAATTGTTCCCCTTTTCTTCTCAAATTGTAGGCTCAACTCTTCCATATCATATTGGGCTTGTTTGGTTATCAGCGGTTAGAGGTTAGCGGTAGCGGATTGTGTTAGCGGTTATCAGATAGCGGATTGTATTAGCGGGTTTGACCAGCAGATTGTATTAGCGGTTTGTAAAAAAACGTTTGGTAAAATTATCTGTTTAGATTAGCGGTTAATATGTAAAATGACCATAAAAGTATACATTATAATTTATAATTTATAATTTATAATTTATAATAATAATAATTTTTAAAAAACAAAAAAAAAAAAAAAAAAAAAAGAAGGGAGCAGCGCAAGCTTCTCCCCTCTTGTATTCCCGCTTTTCCCACCGTCCCACATCGGTGGGAAAAGTGGGAATGGAGCCTTAAGGCTCCTATTTAAGGAGCCTCAAGGCTCCACTAATTCTTTGCCCATCCCAGATGGGCAACATTGAGACCGGCTCCTCAACTATAAGTTTAGTTTTTTTTTTTTTTTTAAATATATAGGGACTTTTTAGGAAAAATTAAATTTTTTTCAAAATGCCAACTGTAAATGCTGCACAGCAGTAATTTGGAGCAAACCGCTGCTCCAAACTGTTGCTTAACCAAATGTTTTTTTTTTTTTTTTTACGGTTTGACATAGTCAAATTGCCAAAAATAACGGATTTGTCAAAAAATGGCCAATCTGCCAACAACCAAACATGGCCATTATAATCTCTTTTTCTATTTTCTCTTCAATTCTTCTCTCCTTTTCTTCCCATTTTGTGTGGGCCCTATACTTTTACACTCATCATTTAGTATTTTATTTACTTCTCTATGATTAATATTTCAAAATTTGGATTTTATATAAAAGTAAATATAAATATAAATAATGAAATATTAATAAAAGTAAATATAAATATAAATAATGAAATATTAATAAAATTAAAAGTGGGGAGATACCAAATTAATAAGATTAAAAATCAGAAACAAATTTTAAATACTATATATACTAAAAATTAATAAAATTTAAAATTTTAAAAATAAATTTTAATTTATAAATTTACAAAATAAAATAACAATTTTTTAAAAAAAAAAAAAGGAAATCAAGCCGTTGAAAAGGCTTGATTTGAACTAAATAAAATAATTTTTTTAAAATATACAACAAATGTAGGGGGACAGTTGCACGCCATATGTGGCATGTGAGTGACACACGCCATGCACTACTACAGTTAATCTGCGAAGAATAGTTATATCCAAAGATTAATCTTTACTCCCCTCTAATCATTTTCTCACATCTTATCTCCATGGTTGGAGACCCCCTAAGGGCATTTCCAATGCACAACTTTGAGAGGAGAAAGAAGGATAGGGGGGTGGGGGGAGGAGGGGAAAAAGGGAGATTTTGCTTTCTCTAGAGAGAACTGTCTCTTCAGATAAAGCACAGTCAAGCGCGAGACGCATAGCCAACATGAGCCAATTATGTGGCGCGTGGTGGCACACGCCACATTCACTCGCAAAGGATGGAGAACAGTTTTTCCCCATACTCTATTTATATATAGTATTAAAATTTGATTCTAAATTTTTTATTTCTTTATTTAAATTTATTTTTATTTAAAATAAAATTTTGAAATTATTAATTATAGAAAAGTGAATAAAATAATAGGCCGGTGATGTTTAGAAGATGGTCCCACAAAGATAAGGAGAAGAAAGGAAGAAGGATTGTAGTGAAAATATGAGAGGAGATGAGCCTACAAAATGGGGAGATAATGGAGAATGATTGGTGATGCCCTTAAGAGTAACTTTTTATAATGATTAGCCCATTAAGGTTGGTCTCATTTGATTTAAACTTCTCTAAAAAAAAAAAGGTTGAATCCTCAATCCGACCTGACAGAGCATGTGAGAGGTTGTAAATCACAGTGATAGGGCCAAAATGCCGGTACACACAAGGAATCTCCCCACTTTGGACATAATTCTCGCACTGCCGCCGCCAAGATTCAAACCTTGGTCTCTTCTCCCAAATACTACCCACTAAACCATTGAACTAAGCCCGTGCGAGTTCATTAACTTACAAACACGAATGGAAAATGTTAGGAACCCTTCTTTGAATGTGTTCTTTGAATGACTTTATTTAAGTTAATACTATTATAGAGTAGAGAGATGTAATTTCTTTTTTTATGAAAATAGATTTTCATCAATCACTAGAATTAAGGATTTACCTCCTAGCTGATGAGCGCCAGCTTAGTTGAAGCAAACAAGCTAGAAAGAAGAAGAAGAAATAAAATTGTCTTGAATTTCAAATGTACGTATTTTAGGGAGAGGTCAATGGAGTCTTTGGAGACCTTTTCATTATATTTAATATGGATGGTAGGAGTTTCCTAGCTAGCTAAGATTTTTTATGATGCTATGAAGACTAAGGATACTATGTTACTTTTTGAAAATAAGAAATTCAATATGAAATGGATTTCATAATTGGTAATAATACTTGGATTTTAACTAATCATCTTCGAGTTGTAAATGTTGAGAAAATATCATAAAACACTACTAGAAATTCTAAAATTTTCGACCACCTGAAAGTGATTTTAAATCAAGTCGAAAGCCTTGTTCCGACCACTTTTGGTATCCGGAAAAACCCTTATTGCTATTTCCGACCACTTTTTGCTTTGAACTTGATTTAAAATCACTTTCAGGTGGTCAGAAATTCAATAATTTCCAGTAGTGAAATAACATTTTAAGTGCTATTTTGTGGTATAAATATATGTAGGTCCATTTCACATTTGAATTGTGTAAAACTGAATTTGGGTTCTTCGTAGTGAAACAAAAAAATTGAATAAATTGTACGCTCAAAATGAATAATGGGTAAATGAGAAATTGATTATATTCTCAAAATAGACCCATTTGAGTTCGAGAATTAAGGTTAAAAGGCTTGAAAAAAAGCCTTTTGTCCAACATTGAAAAGAAAAGTGAATTTGCACGAGTATATATATACAACATCTTTTAAGAGGAGATTTTAATTATATTGTATAGCTTAGATGCAAGACTGAAATGACATGAAGTAATTGACAAATCAACATAATATTTAGTTGTAGTGAATATGCAACATAATAATAAAATGAAGTTGGAAATATGTGTATTTTTATTTTCCTTTTCACATGAATCATAGAAAAATTAATTTAGCACCGGTCCTTATTTTCAGTACTAGTATATATATGGAATGGATCGGGTGCACAACTTTGAATAAGTAATTCCTTTTAAATTTTAGTGAGGGAGACAATATTGATGAACTCCTCCTTCACAAATTCGGCCATGCATTCGCCGATCATTTCTTCATACTTATTAAAAACTTGGTCAATAACTCCTCGTCCAAAATGGTTAACAACCAAGGACTCAACCAGGGCTCTCACTGAGTTGGTAATTGCCTTTCCATCCTTCACAGATTCACTAAAATCATATGTGAAACCCTCCAAAACATTAATTGAGAATGAGCCCTCCTTTTCAACAACCATTTTCACTTCTTTTAGAGATGCTGCGTAGATGGGAATATTGAAGGAGTTTAGTTTCTCCTCTTCTACTAATCCCTGCATTTATAAAATCATATAAATGTGTGTTACTCAATCTGGCATATCAAACACTTTAATTTTTAAAGTATTGAAGGAAGATAATTTTTTAACCTTATACATTTAAAATAAGGAATAAGGGTCATATTAGCCATCCAACTACATATTAAAAAAAATAAAAATAAAAAAAATAAAAATAAAAAACTACAATTAGGTCCCCGAACAATGCAAAATAATGAAATTCAATCTAAAATGACATGTTAACTAGGGGCAGTTACCAAATTTAAAAATATTTTTTACATTTTTATTATAATAAATTTAAATAAAATAATTATTATTTTTTTAAAAAAGGGGCCCGCCTTCTCACCAAAGTCGGCAACTGGGTCTCCTTCTCCGATGAGAAGGTGAGGTTGCTTTCTCACCAGAGAAGGCAAATGGCCTGGGTCACCTTCTCCTATGAGAAGGCAAGCTGAATTGCCTTCTCCGTTGAAGGGAAGGGAACCAAGTTGCCTTCTCCGGTGAGTAGGTGTCACCTTCTCCAATGAGAAGGCGTCCTTGCCTTCTCACCGGAGAAGGCGTGTTTTTTTTTAATTAATTATTTTATTTAAATTTATTAAAATAAAAAATTTTTAAAAAAATATTTTAAATTTGGTAACCACCACGTCATCATGTTACTAGGTCAACAAGTCATTTTAGATTGAATTGCATTATTTTGTATTGTTTGGGAAATTAATTGTAGTTTTTTTGCGTTCGATGACCCAATTATTGTACTTTGCTGTGTAGTTGGATGACCAATTTGACTCTTATTTCTTAAAATTAACAATACGAGACATGGATATTTAATTACCTTTGTAACTAGATCTTTGAGGCATTTGGCTAAAAGTGTCCAAATGTTAAGAACATCATGAATGGGATTATGGATTTCACTCTTTCTTCCCGAAAAATATAATACCATTCGTCCACCCGTCACTAATTCTTCTGAGCGAGCCTTGAGAAAGGTTAAAAAATCTCTTTCAAATTGCTCGTAATATGCCTTTATCACACTAGGTGGGCTTGAAGTTGCGATACGAATATTACCTTTGTTCTCCTCCAATCCCTTTGGTATCTGATAAGAAATAGAAAGAGAAAGAATTAGATGAATATGGACTAGAGCCGTCAAAACGGGTTGAACCCGGTGGGTTGGACCCGTTTAACCTGAGGTTTTGACCAGTCGGATGAGCATTTTTCTAACAAATAGCCAATATCACCTCAACCTCTCCTATGAGAAAACAACTTGGTGCCATTGGACCACAAGGTCCTTGGCTGCTAATTACACTGTGTAAACATTCTTGTATTATTATTCATTTATTTAAGTCATTCTTGTAATAAATTAAATAGTTGATAACCTTATTAGTTGATTGTAGAAAGATATTTGATAAATTAACTGATAATTTATTTTCTCATATTGGCTGTTTAATCAAATCAAACAGCTAATAGTGATCAAACAAACCAAAATTGAATGACAAGCTAACTATGTTATCAAACAATGCTTTTGTCTTTCCCCTTTAAAGAAGGACAAGACTTTTTTGGTCCCTTTAATGGGTTTGTGTATATTGGGTTTACAAAGTGGGTTTTTTTTTTTTTTTGTTAAAAGATTATGTGCTTAGCAGGGACGGAGCCAAAGGGGGCAGGGGGTCAGCTGCCCCCTCACTCCACCCCCACCCCCACCCTATATATAATTTTTGTATGAATATATGTATATATAGTATAGGTTTTAGTATAGTATAATAAAACTAGTAAATGTCAACCAGTAAAGAGTTAGATTAGTTGGTAGAACATGTGTTTGTTAATAGAATAGGTCTTGGGTTCAAATATTCTTTGCTTAACATAGTTTTACAAATTTTGACTCTTTCCCCTATGACTTCAACACAGTCACTTTTTTAATATTTATAATGTGTTTTTTTTTTTAATATTTATAATGTGTTTTCTATCCAAATTATTTTATCAAATTAATTATGTTTCATATTTTGTTATGAATATTTTTATAAAGTTTTGATCTGTTTCATTTTCACACATATCCAACAATATTTACAACTACATTTCTTAAGTAATGGTTATAAAAAAAAAAAATCTTAGGTAATTTATTTATTTGTTTTAAATGATCTTTTTTGTTTTAATGTTTCGCTTTTACTGAAAAAAAAAATTCTGAATCCGTCCTACTTCTTCGCCCTCCTCAATCCAATTTCTGGCTCCGGTCCTGGTGCTTAGTATTTATTGTTTAGTTTTAAATATGGGTTGTGGAAAAAAGAGAAGAAAAGAAAAAACTTTGGAGAATTCTATAATAAAGTGAAGGCAAAAGAGTGTATAATTATAAAGCACACCTGAGAAAGCCAATGGAGACTGTTTGAGGAATGAACAAAATGGAGAGTTTTAGAGGGGAAAAGCCTTCCATAAAATGAACCACCCACTCCTGCGAAGAAGCAATCCCCAAACCCATCTCCCATCTCTTTCTTGAAATCCTCTACATATCGGGGCAGTGACCGGAAAATGGAGTTGAAATCATTGCTGGGAAGGTCGCTCAAGTGGACGACATATTCCGGCGAGTGGGTTCCGGTGATTTTTCGCAGTTTTTCAACCGCTCTGATGATGTCGAACACTACCAGAAAAGTGTTTGGTCCGGAGGAACATCCCAAGTCTGCAATGGATATGGTTTCTGGGCAAAGACTGTTATACAGATCTGTTATGGCTTCTTCTGTTGTGGGCTTTGTACGAAGTATCACATTTTTCTGTTCATTCAAACAAAACATGCACTTAGGAAGAATTAACGTACTTTATTTTTTCCCAAAAATTAACGATAAAAACTAATTGAATTTTGAATGCAAAACGCAGGTACCTGACCCACGGAGTTGTTAGCATAACTGGTGTCTCCATTTCCTTCGTTCATGTGAAACACTTCTACAACTTCCATCTCTCTCTCTCTCTCTCTCTCTCTCTCAATATCTCTATCTCGTGTGTATATTTTGTATGTGTGTTTATCTAGTTACATCACTTACATGCATTTCTCTGGTATTTATAGATGATGACGATGAATTATTTTTTTGGTATAATATGATATAAAATTATAATCATCATTGGACTCATTAATATACATTATATTGTTCCATTTATTTTATTTTATCATACATTTAATATAGAGTACGTATTCAATCAATATAATCGTTATATCGTGAACCATGATTCACATTGTAAAATTTATCACTGATCTACATGGTCATTTTTAGTATTGCAAGTTCATTTTTAGTGTATGTACTACCTAAAATGAATTTACAATATTTAAAATGAATCTATATTACTAAACCATCTTACAATATAGATTACGATGTATGGTATAATTTGCTTATTCAATTTGACCTTTTGTGTTAATAAACTTTTTAATGTAATTAGTATATATATATATATATATATATGTATATATATATATATATATATATATATATTACACAATAATTCTAAACTAAATGTTACAAGAACTGAGTTGTTGTTCCTTTCAAGAAAAAAAAAAAAAAAGAACTGAATTGTAAAAAACTTATGTTTAATATTTTTATTCCAACAAGACAAACTAAAAGCAAGAAGAATAGAGTATCATAAATTTGAATAGTTTGAGGTAGGATTTTGACAAGTCTAAAAGCCAAATTGGAAACGGTATGTAAGTTGAATCACAGCTAAAGGAAATGTAATCCTAATCTAGAAACATAATAAAGTCTTGATTTAGGTTATATCATGATTTATGTCTATTTTTTTTAAAAAAAAAATATACATTATGTTATAAGAATTGTACTATAAGAAGAAAATGCATTTTAATTCTTCAATTTTTCATTTCTAGCCTTTTTAGTCCCCAACTTTTTATCATTGTAATATACATCCTTAACTCTTCAAAAAGTTACAATTTTAATCTTAGATTAATAAAATTATTAAACGCTATTAAAATATTACTACAGTACATGTGTATTTTAAAATTTTATTATATTTATTTTTTGTAGTTGTATTATTTCAATTTTGTTATTTCATTGCAAAATAGAGAATTGACAACCTTCTTGCATGCCTAAAATTTCTTCTTCAATTGTGTACGTCATTCCTTTTTTTTTTTTTTTTTTTTTTACAAATGAAAATTTGAGACTAAAGAAGATTATAATTAAAGAAAAAAATTACAAAGTACTAAAATATTCATGTATTAAGTCATATTTAATAGAATTTAATAGTTTTGTTGATCCAGTGGTTAATATTACAACTTTTTTTTAAGAGTTAAAGATGTATATTGCAACAGTAAAACATTAGGGACTAAAATGGCTAGCAAGGAACAATTGAGAGACTGAAAATGCATTTTTACCTTATATAAATATATAATGTTAATGAATGATTTAGATAAATATATATATATATATATATATATATATATTTTGGAATGTTACTGGCCCTATTACATTGTAGTATCTGTTCATATACTTTCTCAACCTACTGAAACACAAAAAACCAATAACGCCTCCACCGAGGCTCGAACTTGTAACCTTCCAAATGGAAGTCCAACCCGGGTACCATTAGACCACATAGTCTTGGTTAGATAAATATATATAATTATATATTTTTTTTTTAAAAAGTTCAACAAGTGCCCTTAGCATAATTGACTTATTAAGGTTTGATTAATTAAATGGTTAAGAATTCAAGTCTTCTGAACAGGTTGGCTCGCGAGTTATACGAGTTAACTCGTGTAATCTAACAAGCTACACAGGTCAAATTGAAAAAAATTTCAACTCAACTTATCTAAAAATCGGACTAAACCGGCCCATCCCGATAAATTGGTTCGTTTTGACAACTACAATCTAAATGTCAAGTATATTAATGGATTTATGGATAACGTAACTGTGAACGTCGTCATGTTGAAAGTTTTCTGCATTTATGGAAAGGAAAAAAGGTAGCAAACAGTGAATAATGTATGAGATATATATGAGATACATATGTGACATTTCAAACTTCGCAGTCAAACAAAAGAACAATACGTCTGTTACGGAGATGTTTTCGACATATTGAACTTGAATTACATAAGTTTGAGGCAGTGGGCAAGTTGTTTGACATTAAGACGACTTTAAATTTAATTAAGGATTTGATATTTCTTTGGAGAAAATTCTTCAGTCAAAATATATATTGTTAGTTAATTATTCCATCCAGTCTATTTTATTCGTCATATTTTTTTAAATTTCTTTTAATTCTTCTTTAGATAATGTTCATTCTCCTAATTTAATTCAAACACCATTAACTCTTTTTTTTTTTTTGAATGCCAAACACCATTAACTCTTAATTTTCTAATTTACTTTTTATTTCTTTTAGAGCATCTCCCGAGATTTTTTGGTGATTTTGGCTAACTTAGAAGAAAGAGAGCTTGGCCATGTTAAAGGAGAGAGAAGAGAAGAGTTCATCTACTAAGTTGGGAATTTTATCTGTGGAAGAGAAAAAAAAAAATCGAGCAATTTGCTAGCCTACATAGTGCCAGTAGGCACGTCGCGCGTTCTTTATGTGCTTGATGAGCACTTGAGAGAAACTTAAAAAAAAAAAAAAAAAAAAAAAAAAACACCAACAACATTGAATCATTTGAATTTGCTTTAAGGGCATTCACAATGGTTCTCTCTTTTCTTCTCAAACTGTGAGCTCAACTTTTCCACATCACATTATTATAATCTCCTCTCTAATTTTCTCTTCAATTCTTCTCTCATTTTCTTCCCATTTTGTGGGTCCTACTCTTTCACACTCAACATCTATTATTTTATTCACTTCTCTATGATTAATATTTCAAAATTTTGATTATAAATAAAAATAAATATAAATAATGAAATATTAATAAAATTAAAAGTAGGGAAGATACCAAATTAATAAAATTAAAAATCAGAAACAAATTTTAAATACTATATAATACTAAAAATTAATAAAATTAAAAATTTTAAAAATAAATTTTAATTTATAAATTTATAAAATAAAATAACAAATTATAAAAAAAAAATGCTTGATTTTAATTAAACAAAACAATTTTTTTTTAATATACAGCAGATGGTAGGGAATAACTGCACGTCATATATAGAGTGACACGCATCATGCACTGTAACAATTAATCTGCGGACAAAAAGTTATCTCCAAAGATTAATCTTTGCTCTCTTCTAATCATTTTCTCCCCTCTTATCTCCATGGTTGGAGATCCCCTATGGGCATTTTAAATGCACAACTTTAAGGGGGAGGAAGAACGGTAGAAGGCAAGGGGAGAGGGAGGAGGGGATGGGGGGAGAGAGAAGGGCTAGAGGGGCAAAAGTTAAGGGAGATTTTACTTTCTCCAGAGAGCTAGAACTGTCTCTTTGGAGAAAGCACATCCAAGCGCGAGGCGCATAATCAACATGAGCCAACCATGTGGTGCGTGGTGGCCACATGCCACATTCACTCGCAAAGGGGGAACAGTTGTTCCCCACCCTCTATTTTATATATTAGAAAAATATAATTAATTTTTTGTTTTTTATTTGTTATTTTATTTTTAAAATTTTAAATTTTATTAATTGTTGGTATATATAGTGTTTAAAATTTGATTCTAAATTTGTTCATTCTTTATTTAAATTTATTTTTATTTAAAATCAAACTTTGAAATTATTATTTATAGATAAGTGAATAAAATAATAGGTGATATTTAGAAGATGGTCTCACATAAAAAAGGAGAAGAAAGGGAGAAGCTGAAAAGGGTTTTGAAGAAAATATGAGAGGAGATTATATGGTGATGTGGAGGAAATGAGCCTACACAATGAGGAGATAAAGGAGAAGGATTGGTGATGCCCTGAAGAGTAACTTTTTATGTGGGTCCATTTCAGATTTGAATTGTGTCAAAATGGATTCTGGTTCTTCGTAGTGAAAAAAAGAAATCGATATATTGTACGCTCAAAACGGATAATGGATAAATGAGAAATTGATTATATTATCAAAGTAGACCCATTTGAGTTGAAAAATGAAGATTGAAAGGCTTGAAAAAAGCATTTGTCCCGCATTAGAAAGAAAAGTAGGTTTGCACTAGTATATATACAATACCTTTTAAGATGTAGTTTGAACTGTATAGTTTAGAGACTTTTTCCCACGCATAAGGGTGCAAATCAAATTCCAAAATGAGTCCGAAAAGACTTGAATGTTAGTTGTACAATATTGTGATTCATCAAATGGATGTCACAGTAACTCGTGAGTCGTGACCATCCAAATAAGACCATCCAAATAATCGTCTATGGTAACCGGGATACCATCATAATATATTATAGCTGACAAATCAACATAATATTTAGTTGTAGTGAATATGCAACATAATAAAATGAAGTTGGAAATATGTGTATTTTAATTTTCCTTTTCGCAGGAATATAAAAATATAATAGAAGAATTATTTTAGCACCGATCCTTATTTTCAGTACTAGTACATATATGGAATAGATCAAGTGCACAACTTTGAGTTAGTAATTCCTTTTAAATTTTAGTGAGGGAGACAATAATGATGAAATTATCCTTCACAAATTCGGTCATGCGGCATTCACCAATCATTTCTTCATACTTATTAAAAACTTGGTCAATAATTCCCCCTCCAAAATGGCTAACAACCAACGGCTCAACCACGGCTCTCACTGTGTTGATAATTGCTCCATCCTTCACAGATTCACCAAAATCATGTGTGTAACCCTCCAAAACATTAATTGAGAATGAGCCCTCCTTTTCAACAACCATTTTCACTTCTTTTAGAGATGGTTCGTACATGGGAAGATGGAAGGAGTTTAGTTTCTCCTCTTCTACTAATCCCTGCATGCATGCATTTATAAAATCATATAAATGTGTGTTACTCGATCTCGCATATTATACGTTTAAAGACTCTAATTTTAAAGTATTGAAACGATCTTTAATTACGAGACGTGGATATTTAATTACCTTTGTAACTAGATCTTTGAGGCAATTGGCTAAAAGTGTCCAAATGTTAAGAACATCATGACTGGGATTGTGGCTTTCACTCTTTCTTCCCGTAAAAGATAATATCATTCGTCCACCCATCACTAATTCTTCTGAGCGACACTTGAAAAAGGTTGAGAAATCTCTTTCAAATTGGTCGTAATATGCCTTTATCACACTAGGTGGGCTTGAAGCTGCGATACGAATATTACCTTTGTTCTCCTCCAATCCTTTTGGTATCTGATAAGAAATAGAAAGAGAAAGAATTAGATGACCTAATGAGACCAAGGCTAGCTTGTATAATTCAAATATAAGATTCTATTTTCATATATAATTGGGAAAATGGTTAAATATGCCCTTGAACTTTAGTTTAAAAGTCAATTAGGCCCCTAAACTTTTTAAAGGTGCAATTACACTCATCAACAATTCATTTAAGTGCAATGAAGCCCAAAAACAAATTAATGACCTGCTATCATAGGTCATTAGGGTTCAGATCACCTTCCGACGAATTTTTTGGCAAAAAAAAAAAAAAAAGTGACCAACGAAATTTTCGGCAAATCTGGGTCGGTTGCTGGTCACATTTTTTTTTGTCAGAAAATTGCCGGAAGGTGGCCTGAACCCTAATGACCTATGATAGCAGGTCATTAACTTGTTTTTGGGCTTCATTACACCTAAATGAATTGTTGATAGGTGTAATTGCACCTTTTAAAAGTTTAGGAGCCTAATTGACTTTTAAGCTAAAGTTTGAGGACCTATTTGACCCTTTTCCCTATATAATTCAATAACAAATGTGTCATTTTTCCTTATTTATAATATATTTATAATGTATACCATAAAGTGGTAACTCGGTCTAACTTAAAATTTTTCCAAACAAAATGTATGAAACTAATAACAAAGAAGAGAGGGTCCCTCCCCTCTTCTTTCTCTAAAGACCAAGAGTTTTGAGTTGCTCAAATTCAAGGTGTGCATGTGCTTCTTTAAACGTAAAAACATTTTATACCGCCCAAGGTTATATGTGAGAAAAAGACTTTATGCTATATAATTTAAACTTTTTAAAAGGTTGAATTGTATTTAAACTATGCAAACTCACATCTATTTTTAATGTTTGACAAAAGTTACTAAAAAAAGCCTTATCAAACTCTATTGTTCTCAACTCAATTGGTACACTTTGAAAATCAATTTCTTATTCACCAATTATTCATTTTAAATATATAATATATTAAATTAAGTCAATCTCTCACTTACGAGAACCTGAATACATTTTGATACCATTCAAATTAAAACTTAACCCCACTTAAAATTATATCTCGAAATTACCACTTTAAACGTCCCATTAATGGGTTTGTATATATTGGGTTAACAAAGTGGATTTTTTTAGTTAAAAGATAGTACTGTCAAAATGGGCTGAAATCTGCGGGCTGATCTGCACTCGCCTCACGGTGAGACGGGTTAGGGTCATGGAAAAATAGGCTCGCGAAAATGTGGGTTAGCCCATAGGTCAATATTACTTTTTGTTACACTATAAAGTTGGATTGCAAATTCGCAAGGTTAGTATTTGTAGATTTTACTCTTTTTTTTTTTTTTTTAATTTTGAATTAACACGCATAGAGCGGGTTAGGATTGCATGAACCCTAGCTAGCGGGCCAGCCTGCAAAAGCCCGCTAGAATTTAGGCCCGCGGTGGGGCTGGCTCGCTTTGACAGTACTATTAAAAGATGATGTGGTTAGTATTTATTGTTTAGTTTTAAATATGGGTTGTGGAAAAAAGAAAAGAAAAGAAAAAACTTGGAGAATCCTATAATAAAGTGAAGGCAAAAGAGTGTATAATTATAAAGCACACCTGAGAAAGCCAATGGAGACTGCTTGAGGAATGAACAAAATGGAGAGTTTTAGAGGGGAAAAGCCTTCCATAAAATGAACCACCCACTCCTGCGAAGAAGCAATGCCCAAACCCATCTCCCATCTCTTTCTTGAAATCCTCTACATATCGGGGCAGTGACCGGAAAATGGAGTTGAAATCATTGCTGGGAAGGTCGCTGAAGTGAATGACATATTCCGGCGAGTGGGTTCCGGTCATTTTTCGCAGTTTTTCAACCGCTCTGATGATGTCGAACACTACCAGAAAAGTGTTTGGTCCGGAGGAACATCCCAAGTCTGCAATGGATATGGTTTCTGGGCAAAGGCTGTTATACACATCTGTTATGGCTTCTTCTCTTGTCGGCTTTATACAAAGTATCATATTTTTCTGTTCATACAAACCATAAAAACATGCACTTACCAGTTACCAAGAATTAAATTTATTTGTTCCGGAAATTATAGCAAATTATACCATAACTAAAATCCACATTACATTGTGAATCTTGGTCCAAAATGACATTCATATTATGACATTCAGCTAGATAAAAGATTAACTGAAAACACATAATTTAAATATCGTTTTGGATTAGATCCATAATATAATGCAAGTTGGATCCTATTACATGGTATAGCAATTGCAACGTAACGAAAAAACCAATTTGAATGCAAAACGCAGGCACCTGAATCAATGAGTTGTTAGCATAACTGGTGTCTCCATTTCCTTCGTTCATGTGAAGCACTTCTACAATTTCCATCTCTCTCTCTCTCTCAATATCTCTATCTCTATCTCGTGTGTATGTGTTTGCACATGTGTTGCCTTCTACATTTCTCTAGTATTTATAGATGATGGTGATGAATTATTTATTGGTATAATATCACTAGTACAAAATATAGAATTATAATCATCATCAAGACATACAAGTTTATTTTTAGTATATTAAAAATTAATTTTTAATTTAATACATATTTTTTTAGTGTACTGCTACTTAAAATAAATGAACTTACAATATATTAAAAATGAACATTTAGAATACTAAAAAATAAACATGTACCAATGGTCTATCTCGCAATGCATATCATTGTCTATACTATGTTGTATTTAATTTGACTTTTTGTGTTTAATAAATTTTTTTAACGTGATTTGTACGTGTGTGTGTATATACTATACAATAATATAATTCTAAATTAAATATTCCAAGAATTGAATTGTTTTAAATAAGACGAATAGAGTATCGTAGTTGAGGTAATTGTAGGCTCTGTTCGACAGAGCTTATTTAGGAGCTTATAGCTTATTTTAAGCTACTAATAAGCTATAAGCTCTGTTTGATAATGCTCCCAAAATAAGCTCCTAGCTTAAAATAAGAGCTTATTTTGGAACGCTACCTAGTTTAACAGGTCTTCAGTTTTCAGCTCCGAGCTTATAACTTTTCAGCTTTCAACTCCTAGCTTATAGTTTTTCAGCTAGGTTTGCCAAACAGAGCCGTAGTTTTGGTCCTTAATTATTACTCATTAAAAAGTTTGATACTTACTCTGAATATTTTAATTTGAATAAATTTGACTTCCATTTGTTCAAAATGTTGTTAATTAATTTAGTCTATAACAAATAACGTTTAAAGGACATAATGAAATAATCCATCTAAGTTGATCAGTTCAAATTAAGGACAATAGATAGTTATCATGCCAATTGTAGGTAGACCTTGAACTTGATCAATTGTCGTCTAACTGCAATTGTTATGCCATGGAACTGTGTTCACCTTGCAATGTGGACACAGTTTTATGTTCATAATTATTAAATTCTATGTTCATAATTATAAAACTCTATGTTCATAATTTTTGAACTTCATATTCACAATTATTGAACTCTATATTCACAATTACTGAACTCTGATCTATGTTCATAATTTTTGAACTTCATATTTATAATTATTGAACTCTATATTCACAATTACAGAACTATATGTTCATAATTATAGAACTCTATGTTCATAATTTTTGAACTCTATATTTACAATTACGACAATTTTGAAACGGTGTCTACCTTGCATAATTTTGCCAACTAACTGACAGTTGGCATTCTTTTTGTGACTGCCAATATGTCCAGTATTTGTTTGTAGTATGCTTTTAAATTTGCTTATGCATGAATTATGGTTTGCTTCATTACAAAAAGCCATAATCGAACCAGGTGGACCAACAAATAGGACCAAGCTAAGGAGTTGTCAACTCAAAAAACTGTACATATTAGCACCATACCCCAAACCAACCATAATAACTTCTTTTAAGTGGCCTAAACATTTTTGTTGTGAAGCCTTACATCTACTCATCTATGGCCCTTTCACTAAAATTAAAGCTCCTCATGTTAGGAGGTTGATCTCCAAGTAATAAATTATGACAACATATTTGATATACAATCTAAATCTGAGTCCCAATATTGCAACAATCAATCTTCTGAACTGGTAACCTCATACCCCGTAATAACTTTTTGGTTTCGTAGAAGTTGTCAGGAATTAGATTATCTTCCGGAACAAGCTTCTTTCATAAATTCAGTGATTTGATTGAAACATTTTTTTGATATGTGATTCTCTGATTTCAAGCTCATAAGTCGAGCTACAAGAGACAACTGCGAGTGCTTTTTACACCCAGACCACAACTCTTGGTCTACTATAGCCAAGATATACAAGATGCGGTCATAGCAATCCATCCAATTGCAGGCAAATTATTATGTGGACCCGAGTCCACCTTACAAGATGAACCCGATTCCAAAAATACACAATTTACATATTAAATAATGTTCACAATTTACTTTTAAAAAATTTACCATTTGTGATGACCCTATATTGTATTTATAAATTCTCAAAATTTATAAATACAATCTATATTATAAAAGTTTACAATTCTAATATTAGAAATACACACTTTAAAATTATGATCTACCTCGCAAGATAAACTCTGGTCCGCGAATTAGATTATCCAAATATGTTGGATGTGAATTTCACCCTTATCTCAATTATATATTTATTATATTTACATATTTGAGTTCTTACACTTTGAAAATTATCATTTCCACCTTCCCGTGCTAGCCTTAAACCACTAACCAAAAAAGAAGTAAAAATAAAACCCTACACAGTGACAGAGCGTCCATAGTAGAACACTAGAACTCGAGCCTTAGGTTTAGCCTCTCTGCCTTCCTAATTGCAAGATTCTACGCTTCTAGCAGCTGTCGTTCTCGCGGCTTAGGTTTATTTCCTCTTCTTTTAATCTGGTTTATTTACTCTCTGTGGTTTCCTTTGTTTCTGAGACTGTGTACTTCAAATTTCTTTTTAAGTATTATTTTATTAATATCAATCAGGGCATGGAATCCCCTTCCCTTTTGATTGGGTAGAGTATTTTGTACGAAGAATCTGTATTATGTGATTTTACTGGTTGCATATGTTGTAGTTATGCAATTATCCCTGTTATTATAGCAGATTTGATATCTGAGTTTGAAAGAAAACTGAAAAGCTGTTGACCCATTCCTTCCTAGAAGATCAGAAGTATTACTCTAAACCAAGGAAGAAGTTTTGCTTTTGATTTTAAGTGACTAATTGATGAAGATGGAAGACTTTTTCCCAGGGATGTTATTTGTGAATACCTATCAGTCTAAGTTTGCATTTGCATTTGAAGGCATTGTTCAGACTTTAAGTTTGTATTTTATTATGAGTTATTGGGGTTGTCTTTAAATTTTGAGCTTTTAAGTTTGGAACTTTGGAGTTTGGACTATGAGTTATTAGCACTAATGACTTGAATAGATCTTCAAACTTAGAGAATTATCCACCAAAGAGGCATGGGGTATGGTAGGTTCTTTAGCAATGGGCTTGAGGAATATTGTGAAAGTGGTGTTGGTGACACTGAGATAATTCTCAACCAACTGAGAAACCCAAGCCATGAATAGCTCTTCAAGCTACAAGCTACTGCTGTTGCTTGTTACTATGCCGTAGATGATGCACTATGTTTAATTGTTTCTATAGACTGCATGGGAACAAAAATAGTCTACTGAGAATTAACTGGTTGCTTTGACTTGGAAACTTGATTATGCAAAAACTTCACTAATGAAAGATTAGTTTTCTCAAAATGGACATGGCGAGCAATGGATTTCTTCCCAATGCTAGGATCAGGACAATGATAACTGTGGAAAGATGTATGATAACCAATAAAGACACATGTAGTAAACCGAAAATGTTATATAGTGATTATATGGTCATAACAATGGGAAGCATTATATAGTGGTCATAACAATGGAAAGCAAAGCCACCCAAAACTATAATTAGGTGGTTTGTTATAGAGCAGCCCAAAGGGAGTATTATTGTTTATTAGTGGTGATGGCAGTCTATTTATCAAGTGCACAGCTGTCTCAACTATGTAATGCCAATAGCAAGAGTGGGCTGATTCTTGAGCTAGAAAAGCCAAGCTAGTTTCAACAATTTGTGGATTATGGCATTCCACTTTGCCTGCTTTCATGCAAGCAGATAAACTCAAGTAGAAATTACTGGAAAAAAGAAAAGCGATAGAAAATATTCTGAAATTGTGTAAATCATAGTGCTCAAATTGACATTTTAACCGGTTTTGTACATTTGAAAGTAATCTGGTAGGTTGTATAAATTTGGTTTTTAATTAAAATTTATACATTTTTAAATATGTCCTTTGTGTTAAAGGCTTAAGAAACTCAGAGTGCCCTAAATTACTAACTGCAGAGTAGCTATTGTACCAGCAGAGAGAAAGCAGAAATCCCTCTGTTTCTCACATCACCATGTCTTCGAACAATCCATCTCAGCTGCTTCCATCTGGTATGTTGCCTTGTACTCTTTTTTATTTTTCTTATTTTTTCCGCAGGATATAAATTTTTGAAGATATTTTTTAATTTTTTATTTGCAGAGCTAATTGATCGCTGCATTGGGTCCAAAATCTGGGTCATAATGAAAGGGGATAAGGAGCTTGTTGGAACACTTAGAGGATTTGATGTTTATGTTAACATGGTCCTCGAAGATGTCACTGAATAGTACGTTCCTCTATTGAAATTAGGGTTGCTTCAATTTAAGGGTTATTGCATTTTCAATTATTTTCTCTGAAGCCAATAATTAAAATAGGAATTACTAAGGTAAAATTAAATTTTATTTGCATTTTTTGTTATGTTGTGATAATTATTATGTTTTTGGGTGGTTTAGTTTATGTTTGAGATATTCCAGTTATAAATGTTTACTAATTGAGCTCTGTTTAACATGCCAATCAGAATAAACATCTTCGAGGACATTTTATGTCTTGAACTCCTGGCTCATGTAAAATACAGGCTATGTTCAAGATATACTTAGGTACATTGGCGTACTAAATCCAATGGCTAGAGTTTCATTTCAAGTTTCATGTGCACTAAGTATATCTTGAACTCCTGGCTCATGTAAAATACAGAGAGAATCTTAGCCAATGTACCTAACAAAAAGAAACAATCTTAGCCCATGTTTGAGTTTGACAGCAGTCAGATGAATCAAGATAGTGGACAAACTATATATCTGGCTTTTAGGATGTGATTTAGTGGAAAAAGAATTTGGAGACATTCCAAGGGTTTATCCAAACACAGATCATTTGCCTATGATAAAGAAAGAGAAAGAAAAAGAGAATAATTTGAAGAAGCTCATGGTAATACCCTTTCTGGCATTCTAGTAGAGAATTGAACTTGTGGTTGACTGAGGGATAGAAATCCCCAATTTCCCGAAATGCATCTGAATTCTCATACTAAGGCACCCTAAATTCAACTTCTTTAAGGTTCTGGTGCTTGCTGCCTTGCTGTTTTAGCATTTGACACTTGGATCTTTTGGTGAAAACGAAGGAAAATAGGGGACTTCCTTGAACTCAAGTTTGTCATCGGTGGCACAATGTAAAATTAGAGATATCTACCATTCTACCGGTCTCTCAAGTAGAAAACTGGAGCTGATATCCTAAACTCATGTTGCTGGGAAACTATGTTTATGCAGATATCCTAAAGATTAGTTAATAAACAAGGGCAGCTTCACATCCAAAGCATATAATCATCTCTTCTATTAGTTGAATACTCAGCTTTTTTACTTAATATAGTCTCTCATTATTTTACTTGAAGAAAAGGATGCAGTGAGTTTACAAGCACATTGTTTATATGTATGTGTGTGTGTATAGCCCTTACACATAACCACTTTTCATTTTATTTGGCAAACTAGCCACAGTAATGTGGTAAAGCATTTGAAGCAGGACCAAGCACTTAAATGATTATGTATTGCAGAATAAAAGAACTGTGGCAATTTAGTATTTTAATCTGCCATTTGTTACTATTGTTTTCATATTAAATGCTTGTCATGTGAATTTCTGAACATTTAGCTATAGTCATGAATTTTATGGCCCTGTTTGGTAAAATGGCTGTTAGCTGATTGTGTTAATTAGAGGGTATAAATAGTTGATAACATTAGCTGATTGTAGAAAAGTGTTTGGTAAATTAGCTGTTAGTTGATAGCTGTTTGGTATAATTTGTTTTCTAAAAAAGCTAATTGAAAAAGTTGCTTGGAGTAGCTTTTTGAATTTTAGCCTTTTGGAGTTGCAAAAAGCTAATTAACCAAACATTTATATTGATATTTTAACTAAATCAAACAATTAAAATTAATAGTGGTCAAATAAGCCAAAATTGGCCTATAGGCCAATTTTTTACCAAACAGGGCCTATACTTTTTCATTTATCATTTTTATTGACCATGTCAAGTTGTCCATTGTCCATACTTTAACATAATTGATCACTCAAAGATTATTTCTTTGTTCAATATATTGCAGTGAGATCACCTCTGAAGGACGGCGAATAACAAAGCTTGATCAGATCTTGCTCAATGGAAACAACATTGCCATTGTGAGTTTTTGTTATAATAATGATTTAGCCTGCTGTTTCTGCTATCGTCGCTCCTTTACTTTAATCCGTTAGGTATCATTATGCCTTTTTGTGAAATGCAGCTTGTTCCGGGAGGCTCACCTGACACTGAATGAGGTTTGGATTTGACTACAGCCTAAGAAGTTGGTAGATATAAGAACAATTTATTTCGTGTCTGTAGGCTTACTGTCACTGGTTAATTACAATTGTTGGTAGACCTTGAACTTGATGAACTATAACTAACTGGCAGTTGGTTATGTCCAGTATTTGTAGTAGGATTTTAAACTTGCTTATGCATGAGTTATGGCTTTGCTTCATTACAAAAAGCCATTCCAGAACTAACTGTGAGTTGTCAAGTCAAAAAACTGTATTAGCACCATATACCAAACCAACCATAATAACTTCTTGTCAGTGGCCTAAATAGTTTTGTTAAGTCTTACATCTACTCATCTATGGACTATGGTTTTATTTAGCTCTTTCACTATAAGCTTAAAGCTACCCCTAACCTCATGTTAGGACTTAGGAGGTTGATCTCCAAGTAATAAATAAATTATGACAACATATTTGATTTATCATCATTGATGTAGAAGTGTTAATGTACAAGTCTTGTATACACTAATTGTGGATCATTAAAAAAATGGTTAATATTGGATTACCCCGCTACCCCTTTTCATGTATGGAATCTCTTAAGGATTTATTTTTTTTTTCAATTTTCTACTATTTTATTTAGGAAAAATGATCAAATAGGTCTTTAAACTTTACTCGAAAGTGCAATTAGATCTTTAAACTGCAAAAAAGTACAATTGAACACTCAAAATGAGTCATTAACCATTGTTCACGATTAGAAAAATAAAATAAAAATAAATTACCAGTAGCCATCTTTGGTTTTCTTCACCAGATGATCGGCGACGATCGACTTGTCGTCTTCTCGGGTGTAGATGGCAACTAACAGTTGACTGGTGTGGTCGTTTTCTCCGGTGAAGAAACGACTAAAGTCGTTAAATTTTTTATTTTTTTTTTTAAATCAAAGAGTCGTGGGTTACTTCATGTAAATTACCGGTTAATGGGTTTAAATGATAAGTTTGAGTGTTTAATTGCACCTTTTTTGAAGTTCAGAGAATTAATTACACTTTCAAATAAAATTCAATGACCTATTTGACCATTTTCCCTTTTATTTATAGTAAAAGATGGTGTTTAAAAATCATTTTGAGTAGTTGATAGTAATGATTTTTGAAAGGAACAATCATTTTATTAATTAATACTTCATACTAAAAGCAAAATCTTTTTTCACTTTTTATTATAGACAAAGTCATATTATAAAATACTACTGTAATACATTTAGCAAGGAAAATATAACACTGGATGGGATTTTGTGTCACTATCAATAATTGTTTAAACAGTACTTTGTAATATTTAAAAATTAAGAAGAAAACTATGTAATTGTAATAAACTAATTATAAATATATTTCAACACTCAGGATTACACAAGTTCTCATTGATTATTATGCTGCTACAATTACTTGATATTAATTAAAGTCTGGGAATTTGTAATCCAATCATACAATTGAAGTGCCACAGTAAAAACTTCCCTACTACCCTTAAAAATTTAACTTATTGATGTCACTGCTTCCCACTTCATAAATTATTGATGAAACCAAGAGATTTATACACCATGAGAGGTCTACCGAGCATCCTTAGACAAGTAGCCATGAGTTTCGACTTTTCGGGCATTGCTGAGCTCATCACAAGCATCGCCTCTCTCAAAAACACCCGCAGCACCCATTCCCGTGCCTGTTCGATAACATTAGAGAGAGAAAACACGCTCACATGTACTAATCTGGAAACAAGAATGCTCGCAAAAATGAAAATGAAAACGAATAATGTCGATGTTCCCATTTGTTTTTGGATTTTTCTTTCCCTCTTAAAGGTTAAAGAACAGAAGAAAGAATGTACCTATGCACATGGAAACCACACCATAGCGGCAGTCTTTGCCACGACGCTTCATCTCATGCAACAAAGTTGCAACACACCGAGCTCCTTAAGAATGCAAATTACAGAATAATAAAAGCAAGTCAAGCAATTGTCATTCACCAGTAAGTCACCCCGTAATTCTGTAAAGTGTGCTATTTTTTTTTTTTTTGGTGTAAACCACACTGTGGTCCGAGTCTTTCTCTGTCCGTTTAACGGTCCAGGTCCACCCGGTTCGCTCCGAGAGACACAGAAGCTGGCCCAAAGGGAATCGTCACTTGTGGGAATCGAACCCGGGTTATCCCAGAATTCTCCCCCACAAAGAGAGCTCATTTGCCACTTGAGCTACCATGTTGGGTTAAAGTGTGCTATTGATTGTAGCAAAAGCAGATCACACCAAAATGTGTAAGATCGAACAAGATTTATCTACTTTTGAGAACATGTACCTGTTGCACCCAAAGGATGACCAATAGCCATGGCACCTCCATTTACATTGATCTTCTCTGGATCAAGTCCCAGCTTCTTTTGGCAGTATAAATACTGTGATGCAAATGCCTGCAGGAGAGCAACAATATTACAATCACTTCGAATTGAGAAGTAACTCAAAATGCATAAAACAGAAAGAAAAGAAACGTCAAATCAACTCACTTCATTGATCTCAAAAAGATCGATATCATCCAGTTCAAGTCCAGCAGATTTAACAGCTGCCGGAATTGCCACGGCTGGACCAATGCCCATTACAGCAGGATCTACACCAACCGCAGCAAAAGTCCTGCAACACAGACCATCTACTACTTGAGAACTATGACAACTTAATTGGAGGACCCAAATCTCGTAATTCATTGGAAATACATTTTACAATGCTATTGACAAGAATAAAACCTGAATACACCAAGGATTGGAAGTCCTTTCTGGATTGCAAGACTCCTCTTCATAAGCAGTACAGCACCAGCCCCATCAGTAACTTGACTAGAGTTTCCTATAATTCATCAAATAAAAAAGAAAATCAAAATGATATATTCCTACATAATTTATCCCAGTAAATTTCAAGTGAATTTCTAATTACCAGCAGTGGTGGTCCCATCTTTCTTGAACACAGGTTTCAACTTTGCCAGGTCTCCAATACTTGCATTTGGACGAATCCCATCATCAACAGAGATTGTCACGGTAGTCTCATCTCCAGTTTTTGGGTTAACAATCTTAATTAACAAAATAATTGGTTAGTTCCAAAACAGGAAATCAGAAGAATAATTAGTATGCTAAAAACATATACACAACAATTTAAGAGAATCTATTACCTTTGTTGTCACAGGTATTATTTCATCTTTGAACTTTCCAGCAGCAGTTGCAGCAGCAGCCTTCCTATGTGACTCAACCTAACAAATATACCACAAAAGGAAGGACATTAATCAATAACATTACAATTGAAGCATGTGCTCCATCTCAACTAAAAGCCTAAGCAGATAGTTGGATTGCACATTAATGGCTATATGCTCAACACGTCCCCTCACGTGTGCGGTGGGTTCCAAGCAACACGTGGGTGGTGCTGAGATTCGAACTCATGACCTTTGGTCTGGCTCTGATACCAAATTGAAGCATGTGCTCCATCTCAACTAACCTGAGCTGATAGTTGGATTGCACATTAATGGCTATATGCTCAACAATTATTAATTGATGAAGATGTAAATGAATAGATACCAACTTACAGCTGCCTGATCTTGTTCTTGCCTTGTCACACCAAAGCGATGTGCAACATTTTCAGAAGTAATACCCATGGGAAGAAGACAGTTTTGAGCTTGCTGTAATGTACTAGCCTGTTTCAATATGAATCTAGATCAGCATACTTCAACAATGGATATTATTTATTCATTTTCAATTCAAAAGAAACCCAAGAATAAATATTCATGACAAAAGGAAACATACTCTAGGATTGACTGAGCCTTCCCATGCCATGGTGTTTACAGTCATAGACTCCAAGCCAGCCCCAATGCCTAATTCAGGAAATTAAATTTACATCGGTAAATATTGAAGTCCTCATTGTGTGGGTTTAACTGAAAGTAACATTTATAACAGACAACAGTCTACCTATGTCATAAAATCCAGCTTTGATAGCTGCAGCAACATCTGCAACTGCTTGGAGACCAGAAGAGCATTGCCTGTTCACAGTTCTAACTGGAACAGTTTCTGCACAGAGCCAAAACCATATTAACATCAATTATTTTTTACCAACAGAACAGAGTTTTTACACACCAAGAATGTACAGACATACCAGGAAATCCAGCATAAAAAGCAGCCATCCTGCACTCACTTGCCCTTATAGATCCAGGTGCCAAGACTGTACCCACAATTATATCCCCAACTTCACTAGGGTTCAAATTAGTTTTCTCAATCAATGCCTGTAAAAAATATTTATTTTAGAAAAAAAGAAACCAGAAGAGTTAGAAGATTACAACTTTCAGTAGAACAAAGCAACAAGAACAAACCTTTAGCACAGAGGCAAGTAAATCATCTGGGTAAGTATCTTTGAAGCCACCCCTCTTTGATTTGCAAAGAGGTGTCCTATATGCACTGTATAGATCAAGAATTACAGATACTTAGGATTGGAAAATCACATGATAAAAACAACAAACTACAATCTGAACATCTGATAATAAATTTTTTTAAAAATCATTTTATGGAAACACTGATCAATGAGTCAATCAGCAATTTACTTCTCTGAATCTCAAAACTTTTTGAAGTGTTAAAGAGTGAATTAAAGCAAAAGCAAATTGAAGAAACAAACGCTTACGCAACAATGACTATATCATCTCCATAAACAGAATTCCTCTGATATGCAGCACTATCCCCAGCAGCACATACAGATGCCTAGTTGATAGATTGAAGACAAAAAGTTAGATACTCAGACATAACATGTGTGTGGCATGTGTACCATTTTGCTTGCAAATCTACTTCAGTGTACAGTATGCTCCTCACAGTAGTAAAATACTTATGCAGTGACATATAAAAGATACAAAGAGACACGTCAATACATCACAGAAAGTATAATTATAAGTTATTAATTAAGTATATATATCCGAAATACTAAGGTTGATTGTCTAAAAATTGATTTTCCTCTTTGTTCTCACTTACTCCTTTTACCTTCCTCCGCTTTTTTAGTCATCAACACTAGTCCTGAGTCCTGAATCAAAGTTTACATCTTTTTTTAGTCATCAACACTAGTCCTGAGTCCTGAATCAAAGTTTACATCTTTTTTCGTTTAAGGATACGTCAGCACAAAAAGGGTAAATCTGGGTATAAACAAATACTAAAAAAAAAAAAAAAATGAATTATTTAGTGATTAACACAAATCAATCTATCACACCAATTAAACAGCGCAACAATATCGGAAAACCGAGCCAACGGACATTAAAATTTCAGCAACAGTAAGATCGAATTCAAAAGGAGCTAAACAGCTAATTCAGACGAAATTATAAACCCGCCACAAGCAGATAATAAATCCGGATCAAACATGAAGAGATCCCGCAACAAGGAAACGAAAATCAAGATCACTTGCGCGAGATAGACTCACAGAAACAGAGGATTCGATGGAATCGAGGGAAGAGGCAGCGTTAGTTGGTCGTAGGTGCTGAAGCAGAACCCTTTGTCTCTCAATTGCCTTCTCCATATCTCTCTCTCTCTCTTTCTCTTTCTCTCTCTCTAACAGAAGTGTGTATCGAATTCAAACGTGTGCGTGTCTTTATATAAATAGTATGTGGTTAAGCATTGGGATTTGCGAAAGGGAAGGAAACGTGAGAGTTTATCCGGAACGAAGAGATGGGCCGATGGGTCAGCCATGGAGTCGGATAGAGATGCAAGATCTGTTTTTTTTTTTTTTTTTTTTCCCTATTTTTCTTCATTATTTCCTATAATATCATTTTACACCTTAGTTTTGTGAGACTACGCTGCAGTTTAGCGCTTGTATTCTACACTACCACAGCTTTTTAACGCTTTCTATTGTTTTTTTTTTATACATTAGTCATTACTCATTAGTGATTGTTAGAAGATGTAAATTACAAATTGTTCTAATTCTAACAAAAACGAATCACAAGTTGTCCTAATTCTAACAAAAACGAATTACAAGTTATCCAGGTTATCTTATAGTCAGTTTTTATTGTTGACTCTGTGTACAAGTATAATTGAAGTAATATGTATAATATTAAAACTAAACTATAAAATGACATTTTTAATTCTTCAGTTGTGTCATAATGGTAAATTTATTTATTTTTTAATTAAAACATGACCCCATTTAGCCCATGAATTGATTGGTAGTCATTTTCATCTTGTGTGTGAATTTAATGTTAACGAATGAGTAAAATTATAAATATTGTCTTTTTTACTTTATTATTCATCTTTTCTTAGCTTCGCTTAATTATTTTGAAAACATTTAGTTATATGATTAAATTTATCAATGTTAAGCAGTATTTACGAAGTAGACAAAGAAGAAAAATAATATATATTACACATTTACACATGTACACAAAAGTTACAAAAAACCACTAAAAACCCACATATGGGATTCACCTTAAATGCATAGAATATTTATATTACCAATAACACATAGTAGAGCATCTCCAATAGTATGTTTTTTTTTTTAATGTGCCCATTAGGAGAGAGATGAGAGAAAGAGAATAGGAAAAAAAAAAAAAAAAACAAAACAAAGCTTACGACGCGTGTAGTGGGCGCTGAATGTGTCCCCAACACGCACAAAGGCAATAGCCTTCTGCACTTCTACCATCTCCCTCTCATTTGGGACCCACAAAAAATTTGTTCTTGCAAGAATAAAAATCACCTCAAAATTCATTGTTCACATAAAAAAAAATCATCTTTCAAAGTTTTTTATCTGACAAAAATCATCAAAAAATCATTGTTGGAGATACCCTTAGAAGAGGTTGATTTTGGGAGTGTCATTATTATGATTCTAAGAGCAACCTCAGGGTTCATTCATGGATTTTAGAACAATAAAATGTTTTTTTCTCAGCTTTTGACGAATGGAGGTTGGAGATTTTGGAGGTTTCTTTCTCCTGCAAGAAACCAAAGTTTTGTTAGTTTTTTTTTTTTTAAATAATAATAAATAAAAGGTGAGACGCGCAGGTACGTCTCACCATCTCACCCCTGCGGCTCAGCGGGCGGCTGAGAGTGGCCGCCAACTCTCAGCTTGAAATTTGTTTATATATATATATATATTTTGTTGTTTTGTTTTCTTTGTTCTTTTTTTTTTTTAAATTGTTGAATTTTATTATTAAATTTTATATGATATTGTTTGTAAAAAAACAATTTTTTTATATGCTAAAATTATAATATAAAAAAATTTGAAAAGTTTATAATTATAATTTTATTTGTATTTTGCTATGTGTAACTTAAATATAATAAAAATAAAAATTGTAATAAAATTTTTTATAATAATATTTTAATTATTTTTTCAACAAATGAAAGCTTGTAATTTTAGGTGTATATATGTTAAGTATGTTAATTATTTATGTTTATTTTATAATTATAAATTTATAAATCAAATAAATAATAATAAAAATTAAAATATAGTGAAGGTAAAATGGTGGGTCCACAAAAAATTGAGAAAAAACTTAAAACTAATAGGAAGAAAAGTTGTTGTGTTTGAGTTGAGATAGTGGATGTTGGGACCTACAAAAAAATAGAGAAAAAACCCAACTATTGAGGATGTCATAATACATCATTACATTATAAGTGCAATTATGACCTAGGATTAGATTGTTGCTTGTTCCGGGCAAGCCCCTGGTCCAGAGAGTGTGCCTCTTCTTCTAAAAGGTTGAATCTCCAAGGGCCCCACAACCCTGTCCAACAGAGCATCGGAAAGATTTAAATCATGATTACTTAATGACTCACAAACAATGTCAAGTGCATGTTCGCACAAGGAATCTGTCAACTTTTAACATAATTTTTACACTACCGCGGTTAAGATTTGAACATTGGTCTCTTCTCTCATATACTATTTACTGAACCAGTGAGTTAAACCCGTGCAAACAAAAGAGTGTGACTCTTGAGCACGAGTTATGGAAGCTTAAAATTATTATTTTGGTGTAAATTATAAACCTAATATATTCAAGAAAAAAAACTCACCTACACGCGCTTTAGTGTGAGAAGTGGAAATCCAACCAAACAAATTGGAAAGCGTGCCAACAAATAACGTTAGCGGTAATGAAATGGGCCCTAATCTGTAGTTTTCGACGGCCACGATGCTACGTGTGTGAAAGAAAACAAACGTGCGAATGCATCACATAATTCCCTCCGTTCGATTGTGTTACTTGCGTGAAGCAAGGCTGCAAGATAAAATTCATTTTCTTTCTTTTCTTGAAAAATTATTTATTTTCTTTCCTTTTGTCGTTTTTGGATTCATTTTAAAATTATAAGTGACATTTTGATTTGACTATTTATTTCATTTTCATATATATATATATATAGAATTAGGTTCTGGCGCGATTGACAGCACCAGGTGCGGTGTTGTGCGGTTAAATATGAGTCATTAATCTTGCTTAGATTAACGTCCAAGATTATTAAAATTAAAAAGAAAAAATACAATGGCAATTTGATCATTTTTGCATCTAGGTAAATTTAAGGTGCGTATGATTTGTGCTTAATGTGAGTAGTTGTTAAAATTTAAGGTGCGTGAGGTGCTTAATATGAGTAGTTGTTGAAACTTTAGGTGTGTGAGTTTTATACTTAATATGCATGTGCTTAAGGTGAAGTTAATACTTAATGTGCGCCATTAATATATATATATATATATATATATATATATATATATATATATATATATATATATATATATAGAGTAAATATCAGCGGAGGTCCTCCGACTTTGGTGGCACTGCCACTTTTAGTCCTCAACTTTTAAATCAACCACTTTTAGTCCTCGTACTTTTTGTTTCTAGCCATCTATGGTCCTTTCGTTAAACTTGACCATCTAATGCCGTTTTCTAAAAGATAATTTAGTCCTTTCATAATTAATTTATTAATTATTATGTTTAATTTCCTCATCAGAATAGTCAAACAATGGTTTCCCCATCTATGAACGTGTACAAAACCAGCTTGTGAATCAAAATGGCTTACAAAAGCTGGTACGAAGGTTGTGTCAAAACGACGTCGGGATATCTCGGTATGACTCGGCAAACATAATAATTAATAAATTAATTATGAAAGGACTGAATTACCCTTGAGAAAACGGCATTAGATGGTCAAGTTTAACGGAAGGACCATAGATGGCTAGAAACAAAAAGTAAGAGGACTAAGAATGATTGATTTGAAAGTTGAGGATTAAAAGTGGCAGTGCCACCAAAGTCAGAGGACCTCCGCTGGTATTTACTCATATATATATACCAAACACTGTCTCCACTGAGACTAGATCTCATGACCTCCCATCCACATAGAAAAGGTCACTACATACCATCTGAGCACAAGGTACTTGGCAATATTAAACAGATATTAATCGATGAGAATTTATGGACAAATCCAAACCATTGATCTAGTAGATCTAACAATTGGAAATATTAAAAAAAAAAATCATTTTCATAAATACCTACAAATTTTAAAAGTTTATAATATTTATAAAAATGACTCGTTTAATTTTTACTTAATTTCCTATTAATCATATCTTACAGATCAATGATTTGAATTTGTCCACAGATTCTCACCTGCAAAGTGAAACCTATATAGTTGATCTAAGTTGATTAAGGGCTACAAATTAAAGAAAAAATGTGATGATATTTTTATAATTACGATAGTGTAATTACTGAAATGATTTTTTTAAATTTTTTTAGCTTAATATGAGTAGTTTATTAGACTCTGTCATTTTACTTAATTGGATTAGTTTGTCCTTAACTCTATCTATACTGTGAGTAGTAATTTGAATATACTAAAGACCAGTTTGTCACTTCACTGAACTCTATCTGTACTGTGAGTAGTAATTTGAATATACTAAAGACCAGTTTGTCACTTTACTTAATTTGCTTAATTTGTCATTTGTTATAGACTTATAGTGTGCAGCGATCTGATTTTTTTTTTTTAAGAAAAACATTAAACTTCATTAATCAGGTGTTCAATACAAGAAGGAACAGTAGATAATCAAATAATTGGATCAGACTGAGAACTAGCAATTTTAGCCAAAACATGAACAAACTTGTTTGTTGACCTATGGACAAACCAGGAGGACACTAATTCAAAGTGTCTTTTAAGAGAACGACATTCACTTATCACACATAAATAGACTATTGAATTTATGGATATTTTATTTCAAATTCTCATTTGGGAAAATGGCACTTTTTACCCCTGAGTTATATAGTTATAGCACTTTTTCCCCCCTCAATTATTTAGGTAAGCACATTAGCCCCCTCAATTATTCTAAAAGTGGTGTTTTTTCCCCCCTGATATATTAAATTGACATTTATACCCTTAAAGTAAACATTTTATTTATTTTACTACTCCAACAAATTATTGCGTATACGTAGGGATGACCACGGTTCGGTTTGAATTGAACCGGATACTAAAGCAATCGAATTAATAGTTTACGGTTATAATTCAGATCTAGAACCCAATATTTAAATGTCAATTTATTAAAATTATGTATCAAAAAAATTGAATCTTGAACCGTGAATCGGCGGTTCCGGATCTGATTCGCGATTTTGAACCGTCTTTATTTTAAAATTATATTTTTTATTTTAAAATAGTCTAAATTCAACAATAAATGTATTTTATTTCTTCAGTTCGGAACATGAACCGTCCGTTCCGGTTCACGATTTTAACAAACTCTAAATATCGAATTTCGATTCTAAATTGTAATTGGAATATTTCGGTTTGGTTGCTATAGTGTTTGTTTAGTTTGAACCAAATTATGGTCATAATTTGTTGGAGAAAAAAAATAAATTAAATATTTAGTTTAAGGGTAAATATGTCCAATTAACATTTCAGGGGGAAAAACAGCCACTTCAATCATTTAGGAGGAAAAAATGCTATATGTATATAACTCAGGGGGGAAAAGTGCCATTTTCCCTTCTCATTTAAAAGACATTTTTGGTAATAAAAGGATAAAATGTTATTGAATTTATCAAATATGACCTTTTTGCCCAACATCTCAATATGTTAATAAGTATAGCAGTTTATAATGGATAAATGAAGCTTAAAGGCTCAAACTTGAAAACAAAAAAAAAAAAAAAAACAAAAAAAAAAAAAGTTACTTCGAAATATAGTTTATTAGTTTTATTTTTTAATGTCAATTTTCTTAATTAATTTAATTTAGATTTAATTCCAAGAATAATCGATTGATTATTGATATTTATTAATTTTTATATTCGACTTTCAATTTGTTCATAATTAATCTCTTGATTATTAATTTTGTTCTAGATTTTGTCCGCTAGTTAGATATTCTTTTAAAAGTTACTTTTAAAAATAAGCTATTTGCTTTAAAAAAATTCTTTAAAATAAGCTATTAAAAAAAATGAATAAGGTTCAAATTGACCAAACCTAAAAATACAATTAGGCCACTACGTGCAGTTAGGCACTGAACACTCCAAATATATGCAATTTCACCAGATAGTAGGTTACCATCAATTTTAGCAAGTTATCTACTTACGTGACAGCTGAGTCGGCATTTTAATATTTTTCTTTTTTAAAAATTATTATTAAAATTTATTTAAAAATTATTAAAAACGCCAACTCAGCTGTCACGTAAGCAAGTAACCTACTAAAATTGATGATAATTGATGGTAATCTGCTATCAGGTGAAATTGCATACATTTAGAGGCTAATTGCACTTTTATTTGAACCTTATTCCTTAAAAAAACAAAAACAAACAAACAAACTCAAGTGTGCCAAATTAAAGCCTTAGCAAACTAGTTTTAAGCTTCTGGGAAACAACCATTTCCAAGATCCAGGCAACTGCCAAATTGTTTGTTTTCCAGTAGTACATGGAGACAAATACAAACTAGATTAAAAACAATATGGAGTAATATAAACCAGAAGCCATTAAACCAACAATGTACAACCCAACTTTATGCAGTTTTCAACAAATATGTCCACCATCAAACACAATTGCACCCACTGAAATGAAAATACCAAAAGCAGCATAGCATGCTGTTCTCGACAAAGTTCTGTTGCAGAAATAAACCAAAAGGTACAAAGAAAGCCAGGAATGAAAATCAATGGCTGTGTAGCGATGTATATTAGAACTAAGGACTTCGTGTATGTAGCAGCGCACCTAGCGATAAGAATCTGGGCGCTTTGGTTTCGTTTGAACTGCAGCTTCAATTTTATCCATCACGGGTGCTAGCTTGGGAATGGCTTCAATAGCTTTCATGTTCTCTTTAATCTGCATATATTAGCAATGAAAGATCAGATTATAGCAATGCTACTTCAAACAGATGAACATAGAGATCAGATTATCCATCACAGGTGCTAGCTTGTAAAAAGGTTTTTTGCAAAATAAGCTATTTCAATTAAAATCGGTGTTCTTGATTTGGCACATAGAAAGACGTCGGTTCTTGATTTTATTCATTATTCAATCACTAAAATGTTTAAGGAAAAGAGTGGGCAGACCTGAGACTCTTTGGTGGCGCCAGTAATAACAGATGAAACATTGGGATTCGTAGCACACCACGCAATTGCGAGTTGTGCCAAAGTCACACCCAACTCATCAGCAATTGGTTTCAATCCGTTCACTTTCTTCAACACGTCATCCACCAATGACCTACTAGCAAGATTCTGCAAGACACTCCGAGAGGGTTTACTCTTTTCTTGATGAATCAGAGGAGAATTAATTATTGCTCAATTGTGGTAAATTAGTGACAATTGAACAAAGAAATATAATGAACATACACAAATATGGACACGTACAAATACAAATGCATTTAACTCAAAATAGGATAAGCATGCTTTTCACAATTTCACCCCAATATTATGCATATACAAGGAAAAAGAAGCTTTCTAACTCATCAATCAAGTGTACCTCAAGAGTGCCATGTCCAACAAGAAAAGAGTGAAACAAAAACCATAGCTTTTTTTTTTTTTTTTAAATCGAGGAATTACCTTGTAATTTTCCAGAGCAAACCTACTATCAGGTGGAATGTTTCCAGAGGTATACTTTCCGGTCAGCACTCCAGAAGCAAGTGGACTCCATGTAGTGAGACCAATACCGTAATTACTATACAGAGGGAGGTACTCAGCTTCAACCTGCAAGAATCAGACCATTCTTTATCTCAATACACTTCACGTAGTAAATATCAGGCAAATTCATATTCATATCTATCAACAGCAATTACAATACTGGCGCAGTAAATAGAGAAAACCGTAGAAAAAGACTAGGATTAACAATCCATCCTGCATCCATTGCGTTCAATCAAGCTCATTTAATAAGATTATAGCATCTTAAAATACAGAAAACTTTGGACCATCCATTGCATTCAATCAAGCTCATTTAACAATCTATAAGTTCGCCAGACTAATCCTAAGCCCCAGAGCCCCTGCCCAAGATCCAAACTTTATTGTTCAGATCCAAATGAGCCAGCAAGATCAGAAATAACTGAAACAGAAGGGGTAAAAGGAAAACACAGAAATGAATAGCACAACATGTTCCAATCCCCAATATGTAATATTCTCACTGCAACTGTCATAAAATGGTCCTACAGATTTGACTTCATAAATTAATTCCCAGGCTCAACAATAAAGTCACATACAGTAAAAAAAAAACAACTTGCTAGAGTTCCAATTTGATTGAATGCATTAACTGAAGACCTAAATTTAACTCAGGGTAAAGGCTCAGGATAGAAATAGTCCCTGGCCCCATCCATATATGATAGTACACAAAGATTTTCTTAAAAATCCAGAAAATAGCACAATTTTAAGAAAGATTTGAAGTAAAAGAGAATAATAATACCTTATGGCGAGAGAGGAGATTATACTCGGGCTGTTCAACAATGGGTCCAACGAGATCCAATCGCTGAGCCACACTCCAAGCCTCAGTGATCTGCTGCGCCGACCACTCGCTAGTTCCCCAGTAAAAAGCCCAACCCTTATCGATCACATAGTTCATAGCCCTAACCGTCTCCTCAATGGGGGTACTGGTATCGGGGCGGTGGCAGTAGATCAAGTCCACATAATCCATATCGAGCCTCTTGAGGGAGGCCTTGGTGCCCTCCACGATGTGTTTCCGGGACAAGCCCTTGTCATTGGGTCCGGGGCCGCCCCAGAAGATCTTGGTGGAGACGACGATGTCGGAGCGCTTCCACCCCAGCTCCCGGATGGCCTGGCCCATGATCTCCTCGGCGCGGCCATTGGCGTACACCTCGGCGTTGTCGAAGAAATTCACGCCGTGGTCGCGGCAGCACTGCAGGATGGACTTCGCCTCCTTCACGTCCAGCTGGTTGCCGAAAGTAACCCAGGCGCCAAAAGAGAGCTGGGAAACTTTCAGCCCGGATCTGCCCAGATTCTTGTACTGCATCTGCATTCTTCTAGGATTCGATTTTGGCTCTCCAGTCGCCGCCGATAAGAAGAGTGTGACTGTCCGAGTGAAGAACCGCCCAGAGCGTGATTGATATTTTAGGAAAACCCACTAAATAATAATCAGCAAACGTGGTGAATACAGATTCTACGTTATAACTCAAGTAACGTAATAAAATGATAAGGGCGAGTATTATTATTATTTTTTTAATATTTAAGTGATTTCAGCTCAGAAAGTAGTACATGTACTCTCATTTTCTATTCCTAATTTTTACTCCCACATACAAATTTTTGACATAGACACTTGTATTAATGCTCACGTAACAAAAAGTAGTCAATCAGTGTCCGTCACATAAGAAATAAAGTTTAAAAAGTATGATTTAGAGTCTATGTAGTAGAACTCTTCAACTCCTTCGAATTAATCTTAAACTTATCAAATTCCTTTCTTAGAGTCACAGTAAAGATAAATCGTAAATCACGTAACCAGTTTATTGGTTAGACTCTAGTCTTCATACGCACATAATATGTTTAATTAACACCTGTCATTTTTTTTTTCATTAAGGACAAGTATGAATAAGCATAGTTGGTCGCCCAAGAAAGAATTGCGAACCAACCAGCGCACCCTATGTGTCCTTTGGTGCATGTAAATGTGTTATATGTGCAAGTAGTTGGTGCACCTATACAAGAAAAAAGTGAAGGTAAAATTACTTACAAGTGCACATATTTTCACCTACAAGTACATGTAATTTTGCATTGTTAACATTCATTGATCGGGTGCACTTACTTTCACATACAAGTGCACCTACTTATAACTATATGTGTACCTACTTTCACATACAAGTGTACCTACTTATAACTATAACAGGGCGTTTGGTTGGAGGGGGGGAATTATGTGGGAAAGGAATTGTAATTCCATGGGAGTTGAATTACTGGGAATAAAGTGGTAATTTAAATTCCAGTGTTTGGTTGACAGGAATAGAATTACTGGGAATTTCAATTCCAATGTTTGGTATACATGGGAATTGAAAGGGAATAAGTAGTATAAAGTAAAAAATGTCCATTATTGTTGTTAGACATTAATTTTAGGTTAAAAAAGGAAGGGGTAATTTTGACTCATCACTATCTTTTTTTCCCAGGAATTAAAATACCAGGGGGGACATGGGATTTTAATTCCATGAAAATTGGGAAATTGCAATTCCATGGAATTGCAATTCCCTCCAACCAAACTACGGAATTTAATGGCCTTTGGAATTAGGTGGGAATTAAGTAGGAAGGGAATTTAAAATCCCTCCAACCAAACGCCCTGTAAGTGCACCTAGATCTGAATACGTGACGTGAGCTGGAGAGTTCGCAGTTCTATCCTGAACGCGTAGTTCGCACCTGAATGCTCTCTTTTATATAAAGAGAGCATTCGATATTCGATCGAGTTCCGTGCTAGACGGTTATTAAGCGGTCAAGTTGGCCGAATTAGGCGCTAAACGATCGTCTAAGAAAAAATAATCACACTTTAGAGACGCCTAGCGTCTAGGCGGACACTTAGACTGATTTTTGTAATCATGAATAAGTTTGATTTCATACGTACTCTACCACATGAATAATTTTGATGCTTTTTATTGAGATTAACATAAATTTAAATGATCTTCATAATTAGCAAGTTGCTACATGGCGGATAATGCATCATTTGTCCAAAGAAGAAAACTGTCAAATTTCATAATAACGTAATTAATTAAGGCTATCATATTAGTTGTTCTATCATTTTCCTTTACAATTAAGGATCCATACATCAAGAATGGAAATTATTGGCACTTTGGTCCCAGTTTAGGTACTGATTACTGCAGGAAAAACGCGTTCGCCGAGTTCGCCTCCGGCGAGGTAATGTTTCCTTCCTCGGTGTCTTGGAAGACGGTGGTTGCAACAGCTAAAACCCCAACCACCCTCAACCCTCACTTCTCCAAGCTTCATATCACCAAAGAACTGAGCTTTTCCAAGATTTTCAGTAAGCCCCACAAGTTTTATCTGTTAAAAACCCAGCAGAATTCTACCCTCTGCTCTACTTCCACTCCCTCCTCTGCTGACCCCAACTCTCACCTCACTCGACTATGCCTCCAAAGCCAGCTAGACCAAGCCGTAAGTTTCTTGAACTCGAGACAAGACCTTTGCAGTAATATTGACGAAGAAACGTTTGTTTATTTGATTAGGCTTTGCGAATTCAAACGAGCGTCGAAAGAAGGGGGTATGATATGTTCTTTTGTACTGAATTCGATGTCCCAGTTGAGCTTGAGGCTCGGGAATTCTTTGCTGGCTATGCTTGTCAAGTTGGGGAATTTGGGAGATGCTTGGTATGTGTTTGGGAAAATGACGGAGAGAGATGTGTTCTCTTGGAATGTTTTGATTGGCGGGTACGCCAAAAATGGCTACTTTGATGAGGCTTTGGATTTGTATCATCGTATGTTGTGGGTGGGATATAGGCCTGATGTTTATACTTTCACTTGCGTGTTGAGGACTTGTGGCGGAATACCTGATTGGAAAATAGGTAGAGAGATTCATGTTCATGTAGTTAGGTTTGGGTTTGGGTGTGATATTGATGTTGTTAATGCAATGATGACTATGTACATGAAATGCGGTGACATTGTTAGTGCCAGGAAGGTGTTTGATGGAATGCCTAGGAGGGATACGATCTCATGGAATGCCATGATATCTGGGTATTTTGAGAATGGTGACTATTTGGAAGGTTTGAGCTTGTTCTTCTTGATGAGAGAGTTTGGTGATCATCCGAATTTAATGACCATGACGAGTGTGATCTCTGCATGTGAGGTTCTTTGTGATGAGAGGTTAGGGAGAGCTTTACATGGCTATGTGGCTAAAATGGAATACGGGGATGATGTTTCGTTGGGTAATTCACTAATTCAGTTGTACTCTGCTGTTGGGAATTTGGGGGAAGTGCAAAAAGTTTTTTCGAGGATTGAGTGCAAAGATGTGGTGTCATGGACTGCAATGATTTCAGCTTACCAGAATAACGATTTGCCTGAAAAGGCAGTGGAAACATATAAAACAATGGAGATGGTGGGTGTCAAGCCGGATGAGATAGCCATTGCTTCCGTTATATCTGCATGTGCTTCTATGGGATTTCTAGATATGGGGATTAAGCTTCATGAGCTTGCCAAAAGGATGGGATTTGTAGCATATATAATCGTTGCAAACACACTCATTGATTTATATTCCAAATGTGGTTGTATCGATAAGGCTTTGGAAGTCTTTTATGAGATCCCCAGAAAGGATGTGATATCCTGGACATCTATTATACTTGGTCTTCGGATTAACAATCGAAGTTATGAAGCTTTGATTTTTTTCCGGAAAATGACGTTCACTATGGATCCAAATTCAATTACCTTGATCTCTTCTCTTTCTGCGTGTGCTAGGATAGGAGCTTTAATGTGTGGTAAAGAGATACATGCATATGTGCTGAGAAATGGGATGGCTTTTGACGGATTTTTGCCCAATGCTCTTCTTGATTTGTATGTTAGGTGTGGAAAAATGGGCCCTGCGTTGAATCTATTTAATACGCAGCAGCAAGACGTGGCAGCTTGGAACATTATGCTTACAGGCTATGCCCAGCGGGGGCAAGGTGAACTTGCGATAGAGTTATTTGATAGAATGATAAATTCGAACTTAAAGCCAAGTGAGATTACTTTTATATCTCTATTATGTGCCTGTAGTAAGTCCGGGATGGTGAATCAAGGCCTCGAGTATTTTGACATTATGGAATCTAAGTTTTTTATCAAACCAAATCTGAAGCATTATGCTTGTGTGGTTGATCTACTGGGCCGAGCTGGGCAACTGGAAGACGCTTATGACTTTATACAGAAAATGGCGATAAAACCTGACACAGCTATTTGGGGAGCCTTGTTGAATTCATGTAGGATCTACAGGAATCTTGAACTCGGGGAACTTGCTGCTAGACACATTCTTGAAATGGATGAAATAAATCTGGGGTATTATACCCTCGTATTCAACCTGTACTTTGATTGTGAAAAGTGGGATGAAGTCGCTAGACTCAAAAAATTGATGAGAGTAAAGGGGCTAGATATTGATCCCGGGTGCTGCTGGATAGAAGTAAAAGGCAAAGTTCATGCATTCCTTAGTGGCGATAATTTCCACCCTGAAATAAAGCAAATAAATGGAGTTCTAAAAGGATTTTTCGATAAAATGAAAGCAGCTGGCCTTGATGAACCAGAAAGAAGTGTTGTAGATGAAGTTGAAGCTTCAAAAGCTGAGATTTTTTGTGGGCACAGTGAGAGGTCGGCTATTGCATTTGGGCTGCTAAATAGCGTTCCCGGGATGCCTATTTCAGTAACTAAAAACCTTTACATGTGCCAGAGCTGTCATAACCTTGTCAAATTTATCTCTATGGCAATTCGGAGAGAAATCTCTGTCAGAGATTGCGAAGGTTTTCACCATTTCAAGGATGGAAGGTGCTCTTGTGGGGATAATGGGTTTTGGGGGAAATCTTAGATGAATTTCTCTCTACCCCTTCCACCAATTTAATCGCCAATGAATGAGCGACGCATCTAGGGAGCATTGTTGTATCCATTTAGACGTAAATACCTTCCCTGTCACACATGAAAAAGAGCTGGTCAGAACTGTTTCATCTTCATATAACAATTATCATAGCTAAGGATATAGAAACATAACTCAGCTAAGTAGTTGTAACTTAGGTTTAGTTACTTTATTCTGCTTCTATCTTATCATATATAGCCGTAGTTCTATACTTCTATGTACAAAATATCGTAGCGTTTCAGAAACACAAATTAATCAAGGAAATGCTTTCTGAACTTTATTTTCATCTTGTTTGAATGATTTCATTACTTTTTTAATATGCTTGATGGTGCTGCTATAATGCAAGAAGTATCTAACAATAAGTGGTTATATTGCATATGACTCGCAAAGAAAATGTTAGGAGTTATGTTTTTGCTCTTCTAACTGGCTACCGTGATCCTCCTGCTGGTGTCTGGGTCCTCAAACTGCTTTTAGTTTTGTTTTAAATGAGAAAATGGCATGCAGAAAAATATATACATATTCTTCCAAATTCATGGCAATGCCTCAAACAAAAATGTAAAATTTATGATTGATGTAATATCTCTCACTACAGATCCGAGAAGGAGCCCTTACTTCCTCCCTGGTGGTGCAATTGCTGCTATGCCTAAAATGCTAAATAAAACGATGGTGCTGTTGAGTAACAGAAGCACAGACAGGTACAGATCTTTCGTCTTCTGCTTTTCCACTATCTTGTATTTTTGTCTTGCCGAGTAGGGGTGTCAATGCGGGTCAGTCCGCTCCAATACGGACTTTTTTATTCGTAGGCCATAGTGGGCCAGCCCATGAAGCCCACTGGTTAGGATTATGCAACCCTAACCCGCTTCATGCAGGCTCGTGGGCCCCACAGGTCAACAACCTGTGGGCCGACTTCTAAATTATAAAAAAATTATCATGCTACTATTCTATATTCTAATAATTTAACCTAAATAATATTAATTTTTTAGTGTTTATAATTTAAAATAATTTTTATTTTTTAATGTTTTTAATGATTAGAATATATATATATATATATATATATATATATATATATATATATATATATATATATGCCAAGATCTTGTGGTTTAATGACACCCGGGTTGCATTCCCATATGAAAAGGAGTGGGTTCGAGCCTCGGCATTGACTCTTTAGGGAAGGGGTTATAGAGGTGAAGTGAGTTGGCAGTCTAATATAGAGGTGAAGTTTGGAAAGAATGACCAATATATATAGGGAAGGGTTCATGTGCGGATATAGCTTCTCGTGCGCCCATGCACATTGTTGGACAAGAATACGCGCTTAACGGTATTCGGTTCGGTAGAATCTATTACCGTTCGGTTGTTTGGTATATTACCGAATCTAACTAGTTTGGTACGGTTCGGTTCGAGAAAAGTGAACCGAATTGTCCACCCTTAAAGTTAATTACCAAATTGGTCCCTTGACTATAGCAAATTACCAATTTGGTCCCAAGTTAACGGTTGACTAACGGTTAAACAAACGGAGGAACAAATTGGTTAAAATTTTTAAAGTTGAGGCAAATCTAATTAGTTTGGTACGGTTCGGTTCGAGAAAACTGAACCGAATTGTCCATCCTTAAAGTTAATTACCAAATTGGTCCCTTGACTATAGCAAATTACCAATTTGGTCCCAAGTTAACGGTTGACTAACGGTCAAACAAACGGAGGACAAATTGGTTAAAATTTTTAAAGTTGAAGGACTTAATTGGTAAAAAAAAATAGTCAAGGACTAAATTGATAATTTCACTATAGTCAAGGGACCATTTCGGTAATTAACTCATATATATATATATATATATATATATATATATATATATATATATATATATATATATATATATATATATATATAGTGGCGGACCCAGAAAACTTTTTCAGTGGGGTCGAAACACATTAAAATAAAATAGATAGTTTGATAAAAAATAAAACACTTAAAACTATAGCCATAAATATTGTTGAATGTGGACGAAAAATAAAATACATCAAAACTTTATAAAAAATATTCATAATACCACCATGCACCATACCACCTAATCTACTCATCTTTTGTTAATTTTTATCTTTTTATTATACTTATACTAAAACTTGTACTATATATACATATATACATACAAGGGTTATATATGGGGTGGGGGTGGGGTGAGTGGGGGCAGCTGCCCCCATGCTGGGTCCGCCCCTGTATATATATATAATAAAAAATAAGCTAACATAAAATATATATCTTTAAATAATTAAAATTAAAATGACAAAATTTATAAATATCCAAGGTTATCTTACATAACCTAACAAAATGAAGGGAATCACATTCCTTTCAAAATCCTATGTGGATGGAATGTTCTATTCCCTCAGAGAATATGAACCAAACATAGGAATGTAAGCTCGGGAATGTCACATTCCCTTGGTTATGTAATATAACCTGTAAGCTCGGGAATGTCACATTTCCTTGGTTATGTAATATAACCTGAACCAAACGCCCTCTTAAGCTGTGTAATTTTACTACTTAAGACTTAAGATGCAACATTTTTAACACTGAAAGTGCGCAATTTTAATACTTAAGGTGCGTCATTCTAACCGTTATGGTGGGTCTTTGTAACACTTAAGTGCGCCATTTTTAACACTTTGCTTCTACCTTCTAGGATGCACATTTTTAATTTTTTTTTATTGATTTGAGTTGTTGATCTAGATTTGATCAACGACTCAGATCTCACCGCATGTTTCACTTGGTACGTCCTTCGCACCAGATCTCATCCTTATATATATATATATATATATATATATATATATATATATATATATATATATATATATATATATATATATATTTATTATTATTATTATTATTATTATTATTATTATTATTATTATTATTATTATTATTATTTTTTGGTTCCTGTGATGTCAGAATGAAGTGAAGAATTCTGGATTGTATATCTATGTTATGCAGCGGAAGATTACAGAGATATATGTAGCAGGTTCAAGCACCACATAAGGTGGAGCAGTACTGACCAAAGCTCAAGACTCTAACAACCTGAAACAAACTCACTTATCAATGTAATACAAAATAAATAACATAAACTAACTGCTCCGATACTCCCCCTCAAGCAGGCGGGGGACAGGGTACGACGCCTAGCTTGCACCAGAGCGTATCAAAACGTGCAGCGGACAACGGTTTAGTAAAGATGTTAGCCAGCTGATCGTGTGTAGACACGAAATTAGCCTTGAGTGCACCAGAAGCTACTTTGTCCCGGACAAAATGATAGTCCACTTCGACGTTTTTTGTCCTAGCGTGAAAAACTGGATTAGAGCACAAGTAGGTAGCTCCTAAGTTATCACACCAAAGTACTGGAACTGTTTTCGGCAACAGACCGAGCTCACGTAACAGCGACTATATCCATGTTACTTCTGCAGCGATGTCGGCCAGGGCCTTGTACTCGGCTTCTGTAGAGGATCTAGCGACCGTGCGTTGCTTCTTTGAAACCCAAGACAGTGGATTGGGACCTAGGAAAACTGCGTAACCACCTGTTGAGCGCCGGTCTATGGAGCAACCTGCCCAGTCCGAGTCTGAGAAGGCATGTATCACCGGAGTGGTCGAAGGGGCAAGACGAAGACCGAGGTCGAGAGTGCCTTTGACATACCGAAGCACCCTCTTCAATGCCGCCCAATGTTCGTCCGTCGGGGTGTGCATGAACTGACACAGTCTGTTGACATCAAAGGATAGGTCTGGCCTTGTGATTAACAGGTACATTAACGAACCCACAAGCTGACGGTACGGAGTTGGATCCTCTAGAGTGGTTGTAGTTGAGGGCCCGGACTGACTCGTCATAGCAATAGGCGTTGCCAAAGGTTTGCATGAATCCATACCCGCTTTCCGAAGAAGCTCGGTCATATATCTTTTCTGGGAAAGGAGTATACCACCGGCCATATCGACAGCTTCAATCCCTAAAAAGAACTTCGGCTTGCCGAGATCACGGATCCAAAACACAATTGAGAGCTTCGAGAGTACATCCTGTATCATGTCTGCATCGTTTCCCATCAGGAGGATATCATCTACATACACAAGTAGATAGGCACGAGTTTGACCTGAATCAAAATTAAACAAAGAGATGTCTATTTTGGACGAACGAAACCCAATCTGAACCAGGTAGTCGTGCAGTCTTGTGAACCAGGCCCGAGGGGCCTGTTTTAAGCCATACAACGACCGTTGCAGTTTACACACATGATCCGGACAATTTAGGTTAACAAAGCCGGGAGGCTGCCTCATGTAGATATCCTCAGTGAAATAGCCATTTAAGAATGCGTTATGGACATCAAGCTGACGCATAGTCCACTAATTAGAAACCGCATAGGCTAGTAGGATTCAGATAGTTGTTGGCTTAACCACGAGACTGTATGTCTCGATGTAGTCCTGGCCTGGAATTTGATTGAACCCCTTGGCAACCAAGCGGGCTTTATAACGTTCAATAGTGCCATTGGAGTTCCGTTTGATGCGGAACACCCACTTACTTCCTATGATGTTCATCCCAGGGCGGGGAGGTACCAGACGCCAAGTGTGGTTGTGGATTAATGCGTTGAATTCCACAGTCATAGCATCATGCCAATGTGGGAGCCGGACGGCTTGCGAATGACACCTGGGCTCATCGTCGTCGACTGACCCGACTAAGGCCGCCAGTCATCGCCGTTGCGCATCAGTGGTGGTACGCAGGCGCATAACATGCGTGCGGACTGTCGGGCGTGGTTGACGTCGTCGGCGGGTTGTCGTCGTGGAAGAGGTGGACGGCTGAAAGGATGACGAAGCCGCACCTGCTGTGGAAGACGACGTTGGGGCAGCGTGGTCACCTTGTTGGCCGCCGGTTGCACGGCCCGTATGGTGAGGTGAGGGCTGATGCAATTGTTGTCGAATTTGAGCACATGCCCAAGGTTGAGTATCTGGCTGGTCAGCTGTGGCGGCCGGGAGGGCCTTTGCAAAGGGGGACACTGTTTCATTAAAGCGGACATGGCGTGCAATATATATCCGCCCCGAGGTGCGATCCAGACACCTGTACCCACAAACAGAATCCGGATATCCGAGGAAAACACATGGTATGGATCGGTAGTCCATTTTGTGAGTGTTGTAAGGGCGTAAATAGGGGAAGCACTCACAACCAAACACACGCAACACTGTATAGGAATGCTGTTGATTATAGACTTTAAAATACGGACTTGTACCATTAGAAATGGAGTTAGGCATACGATTTATAAGATGAACAGCGGA